AAGCATGCCATTTTTTCTATGACAAATCAAATGCCTTACTTATAAATCCATACATATCAAACTACTTTCCTTGAAAACAGAGTATATTCATATAAACTCTACGTTCTCTAAACATCTTTTCGTGATATAAATGACCTGTTTACCTCGAATGCCTATAATTTGAGATGTATTTAACTTGACTTGAATAAAGTCTGATTTTACTTAGAATTTAGACTTGATCTAATGTTATAACTACTGAAAATAGTAGTGCATTGGAATGCTGTAGCTGTAATGTACATATAAAACAACAATACATGGTGCAAAGGGTGGTTTGGTTGATTGTGCATAGTAATTCAACCCCCATTTCTTTCAGTTTTGAGACTTGATTGCCTGTTTGTAAAGATAGACTGTGAACCCCACGACAATGCAAAATTCGTTGAGATTTAAACGAGGGAAATTTGTGTATAGTCTTTCTCTCTTTTTTAAAAGCTCATTCCCACACATTTAAGCAGTAGAGCTTTTTTTTTAGTATTAGTCACCTCTTTTCAGTTGTGTACTCAGATAAAAGCTATTGGAATTCTCAGAATCGAAGAGCTTCCATCTGCCTACACACTGAACTTTGCTGATAATTAAAGAAATCCATGAGTCACGCTGAAAAACAGAAATCACCAAAGCGCAAAATGAGCTTCAGCAGTTGGCAAAAACTGTCATCATGTGATATTTGTAATGGGTCTGATATGCGGACCAAGTACTTGGCGGGGGTTTTCACTCTTTGGCCACGTCTGATTTTAGCCACCAAAGTTGTGGAGCCTAATTGCCAGCCCACATAGGTGTGCAAAATTCGTGGAATTTTCCCCCAAAAGGCACGCACACGGTGACTTTCAAATGCTAATCTGGCACCGAGCACCGGCTGGCACGAGATCGAAGACGACCATCTACAATAGCCGACCTCAGTTGGCGAATAACCAAAATAAATGGCCACTATGCGGGGTTTCTTTCAGTCTTTTCACGATGATCGAGCGTTTTTCGACCCCAAGGTTTGGCCAAGCCAGTTAGGGGCGTCATATATGTACATATGTACACCCAAATATGTAGCTATTGGCGCATAGAGCACCTTCCTTGTTCCATTTCGCAATCTTATCTAGGTTTCCCTATCAATTCGGTTTATCTGCAACGTGATCGAACTGCGTGGTAGCTGCAAATGCGAAAATTACTTAGTTTGATTAACATTTTCGTGGTATTTCCAAAAATGTTTAATTCAAACTAGTTTGATAATACCAAATTGTTATGCTTATTGTTCAGGGTTGACTACTTTTTTAAAGCTCTTTATCAATATTGATATGTCGTCATCAATTTAAGTTGAATGGATGATCACTTTTATGACTGTTAAATGAACAGAGTTCATACATACACACATCAAGTCAACAACCCTAAAACAACATTTTAAAAATCAGTACTTTTGTTAATAATCCAGAGGCAATACCTTAGTCTGAGTAATTTATTCACTATGACAACCCAACAAGTGGGGTCTATTGACCTTAAAATCTGGTTTTCAAAACAATATCTGCAACTCATTTGTTTCCCTTCAATAAATTTTAATGATAAAATAATAACTTATACAAAATATACTACATATTAATTCAATACAAGTGTTATAACATAACTGAAATACCCAAGCAAATAATTTCTTTGGTTTGCCTTATCAAGCTGTAAGTTTGCCATAGGCCTAAGTGGGAGGGCGAGGGCTCGGCTATACTATGTGCTATGTAAATCGTAATAATGTCAATGACACTGCCAGCAACAAGAGTCTGGCAGCAAATGTTGCTGGCTTTGGGATAGTAAACAACTATAATATAATAGTATTAAGTATGGGCTATATTGCTTACCCTTCATCATGGTGCTGCCTTGATGAGCAGGTTCCAATGACGACGGCACAAATATGTTGATCCTTGTTGCTCCTTATTTCCGGTGGCCTTTAACTATTTCGTATCTGCTTCAAAAGGAGGTAATGCTAAAGCGACGGCGAATGATATCCCGCTTCTTTCGTAGCAACTTGGAGCGCTTTAGGATCTTGGTGCCCGTAGTGCCAGTACCGCTCGTGATCGTCGGGATGGTGATATTGATCGAATTGTTGCAGTAACACTTGTTATAATGCCAGCCACGCATACGCATACACATAAAGTTGTTTTGCATGGGAACCTGCTGCTGGGAATGTTGCACGCACATGTGGACAACGACAGGCGAATGTTGCATGACGTTCTTGCTCGACGCGATGTGGGATTTTTCGCTTTTCCTCGACACTGTTGTTGTTTGTTGTTGCAGCAACCGCAGACAGAACGATCATAATATTGGGGCGAAAAGCCTTCGAAATGGTATTGTTACACAGACAGACAGCTGTTGCTATAGTGGTACCACCGTTCAGATCGCTCGTATACTTAATGTAATCGTCAAGTGTTAATTCACACGCGCGCTTATCTATATAGCATCTAGATACAACTCTTATCTCAGATACTGTACGTAAAGTATATATGGAGTAATGTTTTATTGCTTATTTTGGCCAATTTATTGCGTCTCTCGCAAATGTTTTTCTGGCAAACCTCGGTTTATCACTTTGAACTTTGCACTCAACGTTGAGTTTATCTTGTACTCGTTACACGAAAAGAAATTATTGTTCTATGAATAAGAAATCTTTATAACGATGTTCAGCGTTTGATGCCATTAAGATAGGGTTGTAAGACTCGAATCGAAAATTTCACAAATTCCACGATTATTTGCACACAAAAAGCTTTATCTGCCTGACTCACTGAAATGTTGTTCTGTTCGCGACGAAGTATTGTTACTAACTGACTCGACTGAGAGCGCTGGACGATTGCCGCTGTCCGTGGTTGATATAATATAATTTTGCTGACGTCGTTGTCGGTGCTTCCCCACCGCCCTGTCTATATACCCTTCCCGCCGTCCAATTCATCCACGCTCTCAGCTGCTGTGTCTATTTCTATGGCCATGCCGTGCCCCCAAAAACATTTCCACGCGCGGATCTCCTTCTTTTTACGATGCTAAGGATGGGCCACATGAACATTTTAGTTGGGATCTAAGTACTTAACTGACTGAAATTAGTTAATTGTGGCTTGCAGAGGTGCCAACAGTATTAATGAAATTGGTTTTTCACACTTGACTATTAACAAATTAAAAAAACAACATTTTTTTTGAAGAAAAGAGACTTGAATAACCTAACATCCTAAGTATTTTGCTATATAGTAAATTAATATTGTAAAAATTAAAAAATAAATTATACATATTTTATATATGCAATATTCTCAACAACATACGAAAATCAAAGACAAATTAATCATAATTCTAAATATGCTTTGGCTCGCGCCAACTACTATCAAAACGGCATAGATAGCATTTTGCCCACTTGGGGCCTTATCAACTGCTGCCGAAATTGCTACATGAGATAAGAAGAGTTAAAAAAAAGATTACGGATTAGAACTTTAGCTCTACGCTGAGATAATTTACAATTGTAGCTAATGTGTTTGCATTTATCTAAAGGGGTTAGTAGACTGGAAAATTTTTGGTATACGCTGTGAAATTGAAGATTAAATGAAAAGAGCCGAATTTAATTTATATTAATATTACCTCTGGTGTAAAACTTGGCATAAGTACAAATATGTCGCCTATGTCCGTTCCAAAAAGTGTAGGGCAACTGGTTTGGCGGCCTGCTATGAAACAACAACAGCTGAAGCTATACAGATTCGCACTCTTTCTCTGGCTCTCTGAAACTCTCTCTCTGGGTCAGATTGGCTGATGCAACACTTGCCACACGTTGCAACAGCTGCGCGGGCCAGCTGATTTGGCTTGCTGCCAGAGTCTGAGGAAATCTCTTCGCAACAAGCTGCGGAAAACTCGGAATGTCGCTAAACATTTTGAATCGAAAGTTCTAGCGAATTTTCCACGCCAATGTAGGCCAAAAAGGGTGGCTTAAACCATAGCTGCGAGCTGGCTAAAATTAACCGGCCAAATGACTCACCACGGGGGTTGTCCACTTACATAAGGTTCGAACCCATTGCTGACACGCGGTTGTCGCTGGAAACAAAAAGCGCTTCGCGGTCGCTACTTTGGGATACATAAGATGAGCATCTTAAAAAACAGATACTTATATGCAATTCTATATGTGTATCTTTTGCGTTTGGCGTCGGAACACTGACGTGGTTCCATTGGGGCACTGGGCCTGTTTTTATCTTGTCTGTGTGGCATGATTAAATCAGAAACCCCAACGTGGTGATCAACTAATGGCCAGCGCCATGTACAAATCATTATGACTTTAAATGGATTTCCATGTCAGTCACGTAAGAATAACAGCTTATTATTTTACGGTCAAGTATAATTCACTAAAATACACAAACGTTAGGTGTAAGCATTCACATAAACATATCCAATTAAAAAATAAACAAAATGAAAATCCAATCGGGTAACTTTCATGTAACTAATCGAACAAGATACAAATATTTTTACTATAATAACACCAAAACTATATTGAAATACATTTCAATATTTTTTATTTGGTCCTATGTCCATGACAATATCTAAAAACGATGGAAGGATATTGTCAACTAAACTTTTGCCACGTTTCTTGGAGTCCATTTGTTTGTAGTTCAACTAAATTTGTTTAATTGCTGATCTATTATTATTAAATTTTTCACTCCAATAATACAACAGCCCACTCTTCAAATGTCAATCGTACATTAGATTAGAAATGGTCCAATACCGAGGCAACGAATATATAGTTTAATTGTCTGTCCCTTGCTCGACTTAGTTTCCTTTATCGAGTAAGGACTGTAGTCAAACCGCTCTGAAAGAAAGTCGGGCAAAGTGAATGTACCTAGACGCGCTCCCGCTGAGCTCTTGTTGTGAGCGGGAGATTAAAACTGGAACTGGGAATGAATTTGAATGAGACTTAAACTGAGGCGGAGAAATGAGAGGCTCTGTAGTTAGTTGAAAAGTACTGGGCTCTCTGATCCGGACTTCAGTACGGTGACGACATCTAAAGAATCGCCTTGTTCCCGGGTTCCCCAAATTTTATTTTAATTTGGAAGTGGATACATTTACTATGCAGTTTCTTTGGTGGTTCGTTCCACTTTTGGTGATTGGAGGGTGCTCCGCTGGCCCGCAGAATGTGCTGCTACTATTGGCTGATGATGCTGGCTTCGAGTCGGGCGCCTATCTGAACAAATTCTGCCAAACACCCAATCTGGATGCACTGGCCAAGCGGGGATTGCTGTTCAACAATGCCTTCACATCGGTGAGCAGTTGCAGTCCCAGTCGCTCACAGTTGCTCACCGGTCAGGCCAGTCACTCGAGTGGGATGTACGGACTCCATCAGGGCGTTCACAACTTCAATGTCTTGCCGGAGACCGGATCACTTCCCAACTTAATCCGCGATCAAAGTGGTGGCCGAATCTTGAGCGGCATCATTGGCAAGAAACATGTGGGAGCTGCTGCCAATTTCCGTTTTGACTTCGAGCAAACCGAGGAGCAGCATTCCATTAACCAGATTGGAAGAAACATCACGCGGATGAAGGAGTACGCCAGGCAATTCCTGAAACAAGCCAAGGACGAGCAGAAGCCCTTCTTCCTGCTGGTGGCCTTCCATGACCCCATCGATGTGGCCATATCACCCCGCAATACGGTGAATTCTGCGAACGCTGGGGCAGCGGTGAGGACGGAATGGGCAGTATTCCCGACTGGAAACCCATCTACTACGATTGGCGCAATCTGGAGGTGCCCGCTTGGTTGCCCGACACGGATGTAGTGCGTCAAGAACTGGCCGCTCAGTATATGACCATTTCCCGGTTGGATCAGGGTGTGGGTGTGATGCTCAAGGAACTGGAGGCAGCAGGTCTGGCAGATCAGACCCTCGTGATCTACACCTCCGATAATGGACCACCCTTCCCCGGCGGAAGAACTAATCTCTACGAGCATGGCATTCGCTCGCCCTTGATTATAAGCTCTCCGAAGAAAGAGGATCGCCATCACGAAACCACGGCAGCTATGGTCAGTCTGTTGGACATATACCCAAGTGTTCTAGATGCCCTTCAGATTCCCACTCCGAATGAGACCAAGATCGTTGGAAAATCCATTCTGCCCGTGTTGAGGGAGGAACCCCCTATAAAAGAAAGCGATTCGGTGTTTGGCAGCCACAGTTACCACGAGGTGACCATGGCCTATCCCATGAGGATGGTGCGAAATAGGCGCTATAAGCTCATTCACAACATCAACTACTGGGCTGACTTCCCAATCGATCAGGACTTCTACACCTCACCCACCTTCCAGCAAATACTGAATGCTACCATTAACAAGCACTCCGTGCCCTGGTATCGAACATTATTGCAATATTACCAGAGGCCCGAATGGGAGCTATACGACATAAAGGCGGATCCCTTGGAGCGATACAATCTGGCGGAGAAGCCCAAGTACAGTGGTCCACTTAAGCAGCTCCGCCAACAGCTCTTCGACTGGCAGGTGGCTACCAAGGATCCCTGGCGATGTGCTCCACATGCAGTGCTCCAGGAACAGGGCATCTTTAAGGATCAGCCAGCCTGTCTAACCTTGGGCCACGAGGCTCTGCAGAGGCCCAGGCGCAAGATCCTCAGCCAGTATGAAGAGTATGTGGTCATTTCCTAGGTCTAAACAAGTGTTGTTGTCTTATCGCACCCTCAATAAAAACACCTTAAAGTGCTGATAACACATTTACTGTTTTTCACTTCACAAGCGACGACAGTTCTGATCAGCAAAGTAGGAATTGTAAATTTTTTAGATGTGTAGAAATCAAGTGTTTGTACTCTCGAACAAAGTGGTTAAAAAAAAAGTTTTCTTGCAGTTTAATTGTATCCATTTGGTAATACCTTAAAATAGAGCTTTTAAAACAAAATTAAAGTAGTAGCTCTATTCCAAAAGATTAATATGATTGAAAAAAAATTAAGACTATGTACATATTTATACAAATTATTCTTGAGTTTTAAAACTCACTGAACTCTTGATTGGCACTTCTTAATTCCATTAAAGTCCAGAACAGACCGGAAAGCCTACCAATTCACAGCTATAATTAAATCGTTTGATTTCTAATAAATAAACAAAGAATGCTTTTCAAAAGAATCTTAACAAATAAACCTAATGTAAACATTTCCTTATTCCAGCAATAGAATTAACTTTAAAGTTCACTATAAAGTGAATGTAAAACAAGAACTTTAAAAAGTTCCCTATCAAATAGCGATAAACAAACAATTAAGTGAAATTCGTGTTCTTGATTTTCACATTTCAAGTGCTCACAAAGCTCTCAGATATGGCAGAGAATGGAACCGAATTCCCCAGTCAGCTTCAATGGTTGCATCAGCCCAGACTGACAAACACTCGTGTCCTGGCAGCATGACCTCAGCCACTTTGGGGGTGGCAGGATGGCATCCAAGGGGTGGAAGCTGCGTCACGTTTCAATGTCATGCCCACTGGGAGGCCGATGATGAAGGGGAGGCTGCCTTGGGGGTGAGTCCCTCGTTTCCGCTCATGTGTCTGTGTGGAAAATCGAACATTTCAATGCTTCTCTGGTTTATTGGTGGCGTCGCCTCTGGGTCCACAGCCCCATAGCCTGCCATCCCATCCATCCCAACCAACAAATGAACAGCATCCGAGTCCGTGTTACACAACAGGCAGCACGTTTTAAGGTCAGCTGGCAAATATCAAAGAGTAAACGCTGGGTGGTTTTTCTCATTTATGACTTTGAACGAAAGACACATTAAAAATTAAATTTTATTAATTTTGGTTTGCATAAATTAGGGTCTTCAGTTTTAGCGTAGTTATTATATGTATATGGTTTATAATGTATATTATTTAAGTTACCGCCCACACAAATGCATAATTACAATAATTATTGTTTAAATTTCCGCCCTCGGGAGTGGGCCAAGTGTGTGTGTGTGAGCTCGGAAAGATAGCCCCAGGCGATACTACTGAGGGTCCCCAGATGAGGCCCTCTGGAAATGTTCGCACTGGCTCTCTGTCCGTCCACGAGGCAAATGTTTCATCGCACTCAAATATAATTCTTCAAATTGTTTTTCTTGCTTCTCGGCATTTAACTAATTTATTATCAACACAAGTTGCAATTTCGCGTTATACGTAAATATATCTTGTGTATATCTTGTTTAAACGTATATACATTCGTATATCGTGCATAGCTTGTTCCGTTATATGCCAACATGAGACTATTTTAATAATTTTATCGGGTGTCTGAATTTTATTACTTTGTTTTGGGTTCCTCTTTAAATATATAAATATTTGATCTAGAGTCGCGGTTAGTAATCGCGTTAGTAGGTTCGTAAGTGTTGCTATGCTTCGATTGACTTGACTGGATTTTGCTTACGTTTAGAGTTATTATTATCAACATTTTCTGGAAATCGTTTAACTAGTTTATGCTGGTTGGTATTCTTTAGGAGGATTCTGTTACATTTACTTTGCCGCTAGTATTGTTTATCTGTTATCATCGTTTTAAATATTCTTTATATTGTTTACGTTGCTGCTCAGTATAATTTATAATAAATACATAATAATAAATATACATGTAGATAATACGCTTAATAAATATATTTATACATATATTTGATTTCTTTTAATATATATATAGTTATTATGTATATAATTAACAAAAAAACAACACACATAAAAAGGAGCAAAAAGTAGGATACAAATTTGCTTGTTTCATCCTTTGAAAAATTTGAAGTATTCTTTACATTGAACAACGAACATCAAGAACGGTATTCCGTATGCCTTTTAGAATAGAGTGTGGGGAGTATTGTTTTTGCACAAATATACGTAGGTAGAGTAGGTATAGGTATTTCGGGTATATAATAAATATATGTGGGCGTATGATGTGGATACGTAGCGTTAGCCTATAAAGGGACTTTGCATAGAGAGCGCATTGGCGAAGGTAGGTAGGTTTAAATTACAACGATGAGACCGGATAAAAGTTGTAGGCAGTAGGAAAGTAAAACTCGGGAAGACAAAAAAAGGACGCGCTTCCAAGGGGTTCGATAGTACGGGTAATTTAGTTGATTAGCTAAAGTGTTTTGCTTGCTTATGCCGTCGGCCAACTGTTCTAATACGTGATATATTGCGTGAAGTTAGCACTAAGAGTTCGCATTTTCGGCGAACAACAACGCTGACGGTTGAGAATAAAATGTGAAAACGCAAGGAAGTCGCATTGCGCGCGTAACGTCTTGTAAATTTAGTTAGTTAATACGTACATTAATTTAACTCGTAATTAATTTGTTAATTATTGTGTTGCCAACTGGTACAATTTCGCACATAAAATTTAGTTAGCTTGCATTATGGCCACCATGAATTAGCCTGCCCTGTGCTGCTAGCTAAGCCGTATCGTAATATCCGTAATCGTAGTAACCCGCTCTTCTAATTCAACTATATATATATATTTGCATGTATGTGCTGCTGCTGCTACTGCATCTGCATATGCATCTTCGGCTGCCCAATTTTGCGCCTCTGGTGGCGAAACCAACATTAAGGTTATTGTTCTCCAATCCGCGATCTACGTACGTCTTCAGCCAGTTTGATAGGATGGGATAGATTGGTAGGATGGGATGCGGATCAGGATCAAGATCAGGATCAGGAACAGCTTAGTTGCCGTTGGGCAGGGGCACCTGGACCTGGACGTAGGACTGCGGGAAGTAGCCAGTGCGGCCATTCACCGCGCCCTCATACCAGTTGTCGTCCACGCGATTCAACAGGGTAATGATGTCGTTCTCCTTGAACGCCAACTCGCCGGGATTCTCCGGTTCGAAGTCGTAGAGGGCCTGGCAGCAGGGCTGCTGCTGGCGCTGTGGCGTTATGGCCATCGACTTGGCGGGCGAGCGCATCGGCGAGGGCAACGGCGAGGCGCTCGAACTAATGTGAGACGGCGTGCCATCTTCGTTGAGGCCGCCGCCACCGCCGTCCAAGTTCAGATCGAGCAGCGTCTTGGGCACGAACTCGTTGCGTGGCCGGCTCTCCGCCTCGGAGCGCTTCTCCTGCAGTGTCTCCTGCAGGCCGCGCAGGACGTCGGCGCACTGCGAATGAAAGTCGTATAGTGCCTCGGCAAAGGTGACCAGCTGGGAGACGTGCTCCGTATCGTTCTCGAGCAAGTTGAACATGCCCACTTGGGCCAGCTGTAGGGATTCACCGAACTTGTCCTCGGCACCACGAATCTCATCGTCCTTGGCCTGCCGGCGACGCTTGCAGTCGAAGTCCAACCGCCGGCCCTGCAGCTTCTTGCGATGATGCATCACCTCCTTGAGGTCTTTGGTCTGCATATGATGCAGTGGCTCCAAAAAGTTCTGCTTGATGTTGTCGTCCAGCGAATACTTGACGTCGGCCATCTGTTTCAGCGCTTCGCCAAATTCGACGAGCGCCTGCGCGAACACGCTGTTGTCCTCGCCGAGCTTCTTCCCATAAGTCAGCATGCATTCCGCGAGCAGGCCCTCCGGTTGCGGATACGTATTGGACTTGGCCTGTCCCGACAGCTTCGAGATGCCCTTGACCGCTGCCATTTTGGCCCTGGCCGTGGGATTCGGCTGCAGGAACTCCTTCGTCTTCAGCTGCAGCTCCTCGACCAGCTCCACGGTGACGTCCGTCTTGCGCTCCATCTCCATGAAGTCCATGTCCAGTTTGGTGCCCTCCGCACCGCCCATCTTCTCCGTCATATACTGGTTGGCCTTGTTGATCTGCTTTTTGAGTCCGGCGAAAGCCATGGCTGCTGTCTTCTGGTTTTTCCTCTCGACAAAATGGACTGGGGGCTTCGACGCAGTTGCTGTGAACGGGTGGGTTGGGTTAGTCGAGACTCGATTTCGTTTGATTTGATTTGGTAAATTGACGATTTTCTGATTTCAATGTCAATATCATTTCATCAATGGAATGGATGGATGGGTGGATGGGCGATTCTATTTATAAAACGTTTACGTTTGGAAGACTTACGCGGCCTGCACTGCTTTTCTCCTTCTCCTCCGCGGGGGTGCTTTCGTCTACCTCTCTGGGGGTGTTCTTTACTTTTTCGTTCCCTCCGTGGAGGCTGCTAATCGGAACCCAAGTCGAGTTCTACTTTTCCCCGTGCTAATGCTACCTGGCTGGCTGCTGGCACTTTCACTCGCTTCGCTTGCTCTGCACGTTCTGCCCTCTTTTGCTCTTCGGCTCGTAATCTTCGATTTTTTCCGGAACAGAACCTTGGGCTGCGTAATGTTTGAAGGTCCGCGAGTCGTTACTACTACGGGGGCGGGGGCTCTGGTCGCGTTTTCCTATGGCTGGGCTGCCAAAAATCAATATCTCGACTGTGTACAACAATTTTCAATTTGCCAGTAGAGGTGGTAACAATCGGTAATCGGTAGAGCTGGAAAACATCGATGTTAGTTCTCAAAGCATCGGTAATCGATGTTTGGCACGACAACATCGATGTTTTCCATCTCTTTCCCGGCGGCTGCTCTCTCGCTCACGCTCTCTCTTTTCGGAGAACAAGAGCTTAAGGTTGCTTACGATTGGTTACGTTTGCTTACGTTGCTTCGTTCAAACACAAAAATTCTGAAAAAACGATTTCGTGGGATCGCGAAATTAGCTATGAAATACACAGTCCGGAGATAGGAATATACTTTTTAAACCAATTTAGCTTCCTCAAATATTTCAAAAATATTCATTCCAAACGGTCGTGCAGAATTAGCTATGGAAAATCAAATCCGGCAATAGGAATATACTTTTTATACCACTTTCGCTTCTTCAAATACACCAAAAACGGTCATGCTGAAACGTCGGGTGGGTGTCTTCTCTACTGTTCAGTTTTAACAGAGATGACAAGCGTATACTCCCTCCTATATTTTTGGTATTTTAAAGCCAAATTCACTTTTTGTTTAAAAAAACTTTTACGTGTGGGGAGGGATCCAATACACAAAAACTATGGTTATTTAGTAAAACGCGAATTATTACAATTCTTATTACGCTCTTAAATTTACCAAGTAAACTCTATATGTGAAATTTGTCAACTAATATTCCAACCGGGTTTAGATACGTATAGGAGATTGCAGAAATAGTATTATCTTATGTGCTTTACTGACCGATTTTTGAAAGTGTTTATTTATTGTAAACTGTAGCCAAAAGTTTAAAACTTAAGGTACAGGGAGGAATCGGCCCTAATTGCTAAAACTTTTAGTTGTTGGAAAGTGTATTTTAATGGATTAAAATTCAAAAATGTTTAAATAGTATAAACAATATCCTTTGATAAGATAAATGAAAAAATTTAATAACGGACTAAGGGGCGAATTCTAAATTAATTCTAAAAAAACAAAAAATGTAGCTGTACTGTATATATACTGTTATTTTTGAACCACTGTATTCTGTTATGTCACAATCTTATAAGCTAACAGCTGTTACAGTAACTGAACATTTTGGAGCGCAATACCTTAACATACTTGTATTCAAATAAATTTTAGGATTATAAAATTAAATGGTGGTAATTGTTAGCGATGACTGGAAACAATGATCCTACAGATAATAAGATATGGAGCTGATGACTCACAATGAAATAAAAAATCTAATTAATCCATTTTGTGCAAAAATATGCAAAACAAACCCAATTTTATCTTTTCCAAAGTGTGCTGAAGATTTTCCAGCGGAAAGGTCTAGATAAACCCCTTGGCATTGTATAAACCGGTGACGTCGCCGCATGAAGTAGCAACTTTCCGACATTCCTGCACACACTTGGCGTTATGGCCTTATCTATGCAGATAACCCCCGAAGGGGACTTAACACCGCCAAATGCCGAACAAACAATGAACATGTAAATCAGTTCAATCGCAGTGGCAAGATATAGTTTAGATATATAAGATAAGATCGTCGCGGCGTGTTTTTAATGGCGTATAAAAGCCCAGAACCACAGTGGTTTTAGCAATTAGTCTCGACGAAACCACAACGACTGAGAATATAATAAAACTCAGAAAAACTAACAATGAAATTCGCAATTGTTCTACTGCGGCCAGCATTGCCTGCATAGTGCCCAGGTGAGGAAGAGATATACCCACACCCACGCCCCATTAAGTGGATTATTATCTAATGGAATTTTCATATTTTACCCCCAAGGGCCCTGGAGGTCCAGCCGGAAATCCCTTTGCCGCTGCCAATCCCTATGCGGCCGCCTTTAATCCCTTCCTGAATGGAATTTTCGGTGGTGCCGGAACTGGAGCTGCCGCTGGAGTGGCTGCTCCCGTTGCACCTGCCCCTCTTTTCGGAGGCGCCTCGATCTCCTCCTTCTTCCAGTCGATAGTCCTGCAACGCGAGGCCGAGCGTTGCTGTCCCAGCCCGGTTTCCCACCGATCTGGCGGAGCGTGTCCAGGATGTGGTTGCCGGCTCCCAGGAGTCGATCAGTGGCTGCAACAACGCCACCCTCCCCTGGCTCCAGATCCGCTGTGTGAAGCCCCTGCTGACCAATGCCAAGAACCAGCTGAAGCTCATCGATGACGAGTGGCAGGCTCGTTTGGCCGCCAGCACCACCGCCAGTCCCGCCGGAGCAGGATCTGCCTAGGATCCGCGCCCTGCCCTCACCTGCCCCCTTTAATATCCAATATGCCTTAGCTAGCAATCGACCAACATAGATGCAATAAAATTTAAATAAGTTTAATGCAGGAATTCCCTTGGTTCTTCGTTGGGTTGGGGTTATTTGAAAGGTGGGGTTCCCGGAGCGTCCTGACCTAGGACATGCTTTGATGTGGCCGGTCGAGCTTTGCATTCCGCTGCTTTATTAAATTTCCCATCGGGAATTACAAATTTTGGCGTTGCCTTCTTGACGCTTTTCGGGGCGCAAATACTTGGCTGCTCACGTCACCATCACGAAAATCCTAGTTCTGCCGGTTCGACCTCGAAAGGCAAATCAGTGTTGTCATTATATAAGGCTACATACAAAAAAATTTTTTAAAAACTAAGTACAATGATGCATTTCTATACTTAAAAAATTTATAATTGGATAAAAACATTGAAAATAAAACAATGAATCCTATAACCAATTTTGCTGAATATAATAATGCTCATAAAACTTAGGATATCTACTTATTTTTCAAAATAAGATTTAAAAAAACTTGAGATATTTTTATACCAACTAATAGACATGAGTTTTAGAATCCGAAAAAAAAAGGAACAAGAAACAATAAAAGCTTCTTAATAAATATTTTTGATATTATAATGATCAGGACATCTACATACCTAAATGTCTATAAAAAACAAGATAAATAAAATTTTAAGGCTAAAATGTATAATAGGAAATATTAGGGTCTCTTTTTACTTATACAGTAGATTTACAATTGTCTAGATCGACATCTCTGTGGCACATACTTCCGACGGTCTGGACCATCGCTGGAACTTGACGCATTTTGGCCAAATATTTGAACTGCCTTCCTCTGCTTTAGCTGTTATGCTTTGTTCCCCTGCCTTCCCCTCCACCCCCATCCCCCCTGAGGGGCTTGAGGGGTTATGACAGCCCTTTTATGCATTTATCAATTGGCGCTGCCAAATTGTTTCCAGTGCATGATTTGCTTCTCAATTGGTCCTCCGTCGAGGGTCGGGAGTTCAGCCCGCTTGAGTTGCGTTCAGTTGCAGCGGCAATGTTGATTTATGTGCCAGGGCAGCCCCAATTATCCAATGTCCTCGCCCAAATGGCCGGCCTTCCTGCCCTTTCGATTCGATTCAGATCGATTCGATTTGATATGGCATTTGCATTTGAATCCGAATTCCGAGACAGGACCTGTGGTTATTAAATGGCTTGGCCTAACGAGCCAAGAACTGGCCACAAATGGCCAAGTGGCCTTGGGCTCGGATGATGGATAAGCCACGAACAAAGCCTGAATGGGTGAGTTTGACTGAAATTCAAATATGTATGTAATTAAATGTAAATCTCCAGCACACACAACACAGTACAGCCTCCCAGGGGGCAAAGGGAAGTGCAAAGTTTGAGCCACTTAATTGAAATATTTCAAGATTGAAACTTGAGTTGCCCGCTGTCATTACAACAACGAGGAGAAGAAGCAGCCGCCGCCGCAACTTGGCAAAGTTTCGTGTAGTGTTGGCCGCGAACTCCTCGTTCAACCCTCCAAGTTCCAAGCTCGAAACTCCCAACTAAACCCCAAACTGAACTGAACGAACCACCCCTAAGCTCTGTTTTGGTAATGCAAAAGTTGCGGCATTTGAAATTCACGCAGCAGCAAAAAATGGTAATGTCGAGCCCAGAATGAAATCCAGCCGCATTCGGGCTGCCCAACTAAGTGTATTGTAGATTCTAAATGCCGAAATTGGTTGGGAAAAAAAGTGGGAGCTCCCCTTGGAAAGTGCATGTATGTAAATTTGTTTTGGGTTTGCGGCTTTTGTTTTGATGCAAAAGTTGTGTGCCCCCAAAGTAGGCAACAAAATTTCTGCGGCTTTGGCCTGTGTCAAAGTTCGTTAGTTCGTTTGTGGGTCGCAAAAAATTAGTGAAAAACTAAATCTCTTCTCGACCAAAGTCCAAATCGAATAGTGAATCATTCTCGAATCGGATGGTGTTTATTTGCTGTTTGTTTTTAGCACTTGCTACTGTTATTTGATCTACCCGAGTGCCACTTCCGCTGATAAAGTCATCTAATAACACCACAAAATATACGGTTATGGACCAACATAAAACATAATGGGGTTGAGGCTATCGTGTTGTGCTGCACCCAGATAGATAGGGGAATAAAGATAAAGATAAAGGAGGCTGTAAACTCTATCAGAGCGCAAACAGCAGATAAGCTTGGAAGTCTTTAGAGATTTGGAATTCGGGCTTCAGTCGGTCATTGAAGGTTTCCAGAAAATGTCGAGTGCAACGCTGATCGCTTTGTGTGTCTTGGTTGTTTTGGTAATTTAGATTTTTCTGATTTATATTAAAGATTTTAAATATCTTTAATTCTCCAACAGACCGGACAATCGGTTGGCCAAAATGTGGCCGTAATGCAGGCTGTTGAATGGCTAATGAACAGTTTAAAACCGCTGAGGTTGTGGCCCGAGAAAAATACCAACCAATGCTGCCGCTCAGAATGATGCCCAAGATCAACTGGACACCTTGAAAATGGCCCTATCTCATTGCGAAACTGAGCTAAGGTCCACCCTAAATGTCACCGCTCATAAGACCTGTGTTAATGTCGTCTTTGCTGTATTTTATACCACTTTGGATCGTTTGGCCGGGGAGCATTGGGCCATCTATGGAGCCACCTCAGGGGCATCTCGTATCGGCTTGTTCTGGTGATTTAAAATAACCAAACAGTGGAAATCTCATTTTTTTTAATTTTTTGCTTGGTTTCAATATTTTTATTTTGTTTTTATACATTTATTTAAGGTTGTGTGGGGTTTTTAAAGAAAAGTTTAGCTTATTAAAAGTATAATGTAAAATTGGACTAATAGGTTAATAAAATAAAGGCAATATATTTTGATGGACATTTCAATTTTAAACTAAAGAGTTTTAAATCTAGTAATAACAGATGTTTTTGTATCAATTTTTTCCATTTGTCAAATTTTTAAGCCGGAACCAGAATATACATTATTGTTAAAGTCATGCTCTGCAAAAAACAATTTTTATTTAAGTCTACACACGTAGTGTACGATGAGTTGGCTGTCAACCACTTTTAGATATATTTGTATTCTTACACTTTTGCTCGCGATATGGGCATCAGTGCATCCGCGATGGGAGCAAATGGCCCACAAGGTGGCCAGGAACATGAACTTCACCGATGGGCGAAGGATCCAGAGTGCCTGGCAGGAGGTGCAGACCGTGGAAAAGGAGGTACACAGCTATTACCATCGCAAGTTGGCGAACAAGAAAAGTCGGCTGCTCACGGCGTAATGGATAGTGCCTACATGGAGACGGTAGACTGCATCAAAAGATTCTACGAGGGTGAACAGGAGGAGAGGTTTAGGGATTGCATGCGCATGTAATCGATCTGCACCTGGGCAGATTGCAGGCCCACAACAAAATTGGAGAGAGGGAGTCGGCAAGCGGAGCAAGTAGACTTAAAATCTGGCTATGATACGATATGGGAGCCTTGGCCCGGTCCATGGCAGGCGTCAAGTCTGCTTTCTTTGTGCCCTCTACCCTCTGTTGTACTTTAATTAGACAGTCAACTCGAGACCCGACAGTGCAGTTCCCCATCTCATTTTGGGGGATTGTTGGGTTGGTTTGGGTATGGGTGTGCGTTCGTCTAGTGCTCATTAGGCAAATGTGTGTGGGATGGGGGCGGAGGGGGTCAAAGGGATGGCCGGGGGCTGCTGTTTCGTAATTATAATCATTAGACGCGAGACAAAACCCTCACAAAGCAAATAGCACATTAGCTGCGTGGAAATGTGTGTCAATGAAGATGAATCAGTCCCAGACGCCAGTGCTGAGCCCTGAGTCCCGAGCCCTGGGACTGGCATTGTGGGTCCTGCGACATTGGAGGACCCTCCTTGGGAAGCTCGAAACGAGGAAGGCGACCTCAAGACAGGGGACTAATGAGAATGCAAGGAGTAAGTAGCAAAATGCATGGAATTTCATTCAGAGGTTCAATCATTCGCTCTGCATTAATTGCCTCTTAAGGGTTTCGTTATCTGCGTCAGCTTTAAATAAAGGTCTTTAAATATCTTTAGCAGTTTTTGAATGTGATGCAAAAAAACTTTCAATGTCTCAAAATAGGAGAGATTTTAAGCCAATTTTAGTAGTTACCTTAATCTTTATCAAATAAACAAATATGTATAAGCTTCCACACTTATTTTTTTATAAATCTATTTTCTTTCATTTTTAATACCATTTATTATTGATGTATTTGAAAAGTGAAGGAAAATCCAACTATATTTTCAGTTATGTTTAGCTTTATAAAATCTGAGACTTTCAGTTGAAACAATTATTGTTTTAATTAAATTGTTGACTCCCACTAATTTTTCTGTAATTTAAAAGCTCGTATATTCTGTTATGCTTAAGTTTATTACATTTTTTTTTACATTTTTGTATCACTTTATGATGTTGCATATCACTTTTTTTTACATTTTTGTGCCCCTTGTGGGCAATTGCGGAGTGTCTCTGTTTCTTCCTAAGCTTTTGAATCTGCCTCAGATGTGGTTTCCGTATCGGAAGCAGGTGCATCCGGTTTTGGCTCATCTGTTGCCAAACACACACATAGGACACTATAAAACGAAGAAGAAATAGTCAGGAAATATGGAATAATAGATTTAAGGTCTTACCTTCTCCTTCAACACGATGCGGTACTTGGGATGGCTAAGGGATTCAAGAAATGTACATTAGTTTTATATTTCTGAAACCATGAGATAAACATCTTCTGATACTACACACTAACAAATTAATATATTTGTATACTTTACACTTACCTAATGCCGTACACTATGGGATTGTAGACAGCGCTCGTCTTGGCGAAAGTGGCTCCCCAAATGGTCGTCAGGGGAGTTAGACCCTCGATCTTAAAGAGGCCGAAATAGCAGATGACGAGATACGGGGTCCAGGCCATGAACCACAGTGAAATGGTGGTAAGAGCCACCTTGGCCAGCTTTCCCTCGGCACTCTTGTCGCAATCCTCGGAGCTCCGCAGAGATTTCACATTCATCTTCTTGGCCTGTTCGCGCATCGCTTTTTCATGAGCTGCCACGGCGGCGATGATGAACCAGTAGGAGAAGCAGATGAGGAATAGGGAGTGTAGTACACGAACAGGAATAGGTTATTAGATAGGATCTTGGGTTCCACAGCGCGTCATGTAGTCAATGCTGCAGGCAGTCAGGTTGCCCTCGGGCACATAGGCACTCCAGCCACCAAGGGCATTACGGTCCAGAAGACGGCCATCATCCATATAAACAGTATCTTCATTATAGACGTCTTGATGGTCATGGGCGTGCCATTGATACCCTTGACAATCACATTGTACCGATCGAAGGCGATCATGCACATGGACCAGATGGACACGCATCCAAATAGGGATCCACATCCCGCGTAGATGTCGCACCACAGGGGTCCCAGCACCCAGGTCTCGTAATAGAAGTTGATGATCATCACCGGCGACTGGGAGGCCATCATGCAGAAGTCGGAAAAGGCAGATTGAGAACGAGTAGATTTGCCGGCGTGCGCAGCGACTTGGTTCCTCCGAAGATGTAGACGACGACACCGTTGCCGCAGCACGAAATGATCAGGATGACCAGGGTAAAGACCCCGAGGATCTTGCTCATCATGGGGTCCATGGGGGAAAGCGGCTCCAGTAAGGGTTCACCAGGTGCGCCATGTCGGGCAGCACCTGCCAGGAATCAAAGATATTTTGGTAAAAGCTGGAATATCTTATGGCAAGGGCGAACTCCTTTTATATATATATATATATATTCATTATATATCTAACAAAGAACAATGAAATGGTTTATCTTTCATCCAAAAAAACAATTTTAAAAAGATCCTGGATTATGCTAACCAAAAAATACCAAAATTAATTTAATACCACAAAACCTTGTGGGGATTCACAGGATTTCGCAGGATTTCAAAATCACTTTTAAGTTGTAGATATAATATTTCGTTGTTTCTAAAATGACCGTTTTTATAAGGGTATCGGGAAAACAAGGACGATTTCAAATATTTACGATTGTGCCAAAAGTATGCAAAATATTTTTAATAAATTTGTATTACGTAAGACAACGTTTTTTGAACTATTGCATACTCTTAGACACTTAGAGACATTATATTGTATTATATGGGTCAACTCTCTGATAATGACCAATGTTTTCTTCTCTTTACTTACATTGTCCAGCACGGAACCATTGCCGCTCGACTGGGCCTGAAACCTGGGCCCCGATAGGGCCAAGGCGAATGGCGTCTCCGGCAAATGACCGCGCTCCATGCTCAGCTACCCGCAACCCCTTTCGACCAAACGGATGCTCATCGAACTAGATCTGAGCCAAGGGTCCGAATTTTCAGCCCTTTATAGCTGGTTCCTAAGCCAATTAGCCGCCCATCAAAAGGGTTGCAAAAGCTAATAGACGGCGGACAGGTGCCAGATAACAGTCAGTTTTATTTTCCCACCGATTCACTTAATTTTCATACGCTACATAATATTAGGGTAAATGTAAAAGCTTTGACTTTGCCTCATTTGTTTGGGTCCCCTTCAAGCTTAAAGCGCCGCCAGAAATTTTTGTCCACATTTCTGGCACAATTTTCGCTGAGTTCCTGGGGTGCACGGGGCATTGAGGTTTTGGAGATGGATGGGTCGGTCGACGAGGACATCAGTCCGCCGGAGGATCTCACATCCGTGGGCAGGAGGAACATGCCACTGTGCTTGCTCGTCTCTGGCATCGGTTCAACGACATCCTGCGGCGACTGCTGCTCCTTGTTGGCATAGTAGAGATCATCATCATCGGTGCTGGGCAGCTCGTACTTGACAATGTCCACCTTTTGGCTGAGGATGAGCTGCTTGCAGCACTCCTTTATCTGGTAATAAGCGGACCGGAAGCTTTTCAGCTTGTGTGTCTAAAAAGGTGGGTTTTGTAGATATAAGGCTAAGTTCTGAATAATTTGGTTAACTCACAGGTGACAGCTATCTATAAAGGCAGGCAGACCATTCTTGCCAAACGAACTAAGAAGCAGAACTTCACAATCGTTTCCCCGGTTATCACTACCCCAGAGTAAAGCTCTTTGTAGACAGCTTCATCCATGGCCACAACGTAATCAAAGTAGCGAAAATCATTCACAGTAAACTAAAGCAAAGTATAGATAGTACTTTCGTTAGTAAAATTCCAAGAAGTACTACCCACCTGACGACAAAAGTGATCGGATCGCAGTCCATGCTCGCGGAGAATTTGCAGACATCGCTTATGTGGTCTGCGTCCAGTGTTCCATGTCCTCAAACCAGCACTATCCACTTCCCAGTAAAGACTGGTCTTCGCCATCAGATTCTGCATTATAGCCTCGGCCATTGGCGAACTGCACGAGTTGCCTGCATTTTCGAGATTACCATAGGTAATTTCCAATAAGTTGATTAAATTCTTACCCATGCACACAAACAGCAATTTCTTATAAGTCATTTTACCTTTTTTCTCTTTCCTACTTTCAACTATAATTTAAATAATTTTCATACCTTCTTTTCCTAGACTAATATTATGTTTGACTGAGTTTCCCAACTGCTACATGTCGTAGCCAAAATGACACAGCTTACTGGGTAGTTTACTTATCGACTGGCTGGCCTGCTCCGTTTAACCCAAGGGAACCCGACTTGAAGGTGCATTAAATGACCGTTTCCTAAGATTATAATGCGCTTTTTACAGCACTGGCAGTCCAAACACCTCCCGCCCACCCTTCAGATTGAAGTCCTTTGCTAGGACAATGGCGCCTGTTTCAGTACTTGTGTGCCACGCCCACAATCCTATTATTCTGCGAAAGGGGGCGGGGTGGCAAGATAGTGTCACGTGGCTGTCAGGTGGTGGCCACGTAGAGTCTTGTCGCGAGCTGCATTCGAAATTAGTCAACAAGTTCAGCGAACTTGCAGGTGGTAAGGGGAATTGGATGAGAACCGAGCCAATGGCACCCACATATGTTAAATGGCTTGAAAACATGCACTGAAGAGAAACCAACTTTAAGGATTCATAAGTCAAAGAAGTCGTTATAAGAATCGATGGGTACTTAAAAGCAACAATATTAGCAAGTCTATTTTCAAGGGATTTAATTCGATATTTTATTTTGATCAATTCCATTTAAATCAATAAGTCGAAATGAATAATGTTCTGTGTATCAATCACAATGAGGATATTTCAAAAGTTAAATAAAAATAAAATATGAAGTCCTATTTCCAGGAATAAGTAAAGGTATTTTTTAATGCTTTAAAGGGAAATTAGGATGGTACAAATTGAAAACTGTATCTTAAAGATGGCAGAGGAAGAAAATTAGGATGGTATAAATTAAAAATTGTATATAAAGATGGCAGAGAAATCTTTAATATACAATTTTTAATCTTTACCATATTAATTCCTTTTTAAGTACTAAAAATACTTTATACTCATTCCTGGAAATAATCATATTCCTTTTTCTGTGTAATAATGATTGGTGCAATCCCTCTTTCTGCTGATGTCATGTCATCTAGGCCTTCAATGCACAATGCTGCTGGAATTCATTTTAT